TGAACATAGAAGCAGTGGTGATTGAAGGCGCCTTTGACTTGCAAGCTTTGGCATAATGTCCTTTCTTTCCATAGTTGTTACAATTAGAATTCCGGGCAGGACAACTTCTTCTGTTGTGGAGATTATCACCACAAAAGTAGCATTTCTTTGATGTGAATGTAGCTGCTAGAGAATCATAATCTAAGGCATGAGCTCCAGCAACCTCATCTGTCGGAGGGGAGGAGACTGCTGCAGTTGTAGGTATTTCAGGCATCCTATATGCTTCAGAATTCTTTTGAGCCAAGTCTAAGGCATTTGCTTGGTCAAAAGCAGTTTGAAGGTCAAGCTGTTTATTTTCTAGGAGCCGTTGGCGAATCAAAGGTGATAAGAGGCCATTAATAAAGGAATCACGAACCAATTCCTCACGATACTGTTCAGCAGTTACGTTCTTAAGGTTACAATCTTTGCTTTTCTTGGAGAAATTCAGTAAGAGTCTCGCCGGATTTCTGCCGTCTTGTTGCCAGCAAATGTCTAGCAAATATTTCATTTGGTGTCTTGACAAATAGTTGTTCTAGTACGCGAATGGCCGATTTATAGTCCTTGCAGTCTTCGATATATTCATAAACGTTATGAGACACATAATTTACAAGAGTTCTATATTCATCAGGAGCCTTTTCGCCACATTCATCAATAAAATTAGTAAAGGTACGGTGCCAATGCCTCCATTCTTTCGTTGCTGCGGGCGAATTTGGATCTAAGTCGAGTCGTGCTGGTTTGAGTAGCGTATCCATGTTTTCGTTGTCCAAACTGATTTTCGCGATTCTATTTTGGGTTTATTTTAAGTAGGATAAATTGTCGTAATCATAAAGTAATAATAGAAATGAAAACCATACCAATTGCATGGCTTTATCCTACTTAAAGCCAGCTATAAACTTAATACGTTTTACAATGTACAAAATGGCCGACACTAAAATGACCAATGACCAACGCGGGCTCAGGTGCCACAGCAACCCAATCCGGTAACTAATAAATATAAAGTTTATGTCAGCTAGTCTTCATTATTTGACAAAAATTAATATTTTGTTACAAATAATGTAATCAGACCATTATTTATTTAAATTAACAGCTTTATTAGGAACTGATTACATTACAATACACACATAATAACAAGTAACAACCGACAGTTCCCAAACGGGAAAGTAGCATAAGGAATATTTTATTCTCATGCTATGTAATTCCAAAGAAATTCAGTTGTTACTGCAATTTTGGAAATTAAAATTTCCAAAATTGCAGTAACAACTGAATTTCTTTGGAATTACATAGTATGAGAATAAAATATTTGATATATGCTATATTTACAAATTAAAATATTAGGGCCATTTATACGAAACAAAATAAGACGCGACTTACATAAGACGCGTCTTACATAAGAACAGGTCTTTTAGCTGTTCTTATTTAAGTCGCGTCTTAAATAAGAAATTTTGGACAAAAAGTCTAACTACACATGCCAGAAACTTGAAACAACGTAAAATTTTATGCCTTGCATATTAAAACAAAAACAACCAAAACAACATTATAGCTATAGCAAATAAATAAGACCAAAGCCATAGAGAACCATTTATGCGATAACTCCACTTATTTAAGTCGCGTCTTATGTAAGTCGCGACTTATTTTGTCACGTATAAATGGCCCTATTATGTAACGAGATACAAAGTACTATAACAACTGAGAGTTTAATTGTATTATGAACACGAGCAGCTGCAGGGACGAAACTGTTTGAAAAACGTTCAGTTCTACACCTGGGCACTAGCAGCTTGAGATAAGTCATCAAATCGTATGTTTGGAGATATTTTGATGGGACAAAGGCATTCAGTTTGTGAGTGGGTAACATCATATTTGAAATAAATTCTACGTACGTTCGTAAAGAGTCGATAAATTGGGCATAGTCAACACCTGGAAAGATAATTTTGAGTGCTCTCTTTTGGATTTTCTCCACCTGCTCGTTGAAGTACTGCATGGGGAAGGCTGTAATGTTACACTTCAGAAGCATATTCAACAATAGATCGGATATGCGTACAGTAAACTGAGATCAAGACGTCAGCTGGTAAAGCATTTCTCTTCAAGAGGCAGAAACCATATAAACGGTTCGCAGCTTTCTTACAAATGTAATCAATGTGGCGAATCCACTTGAGATCGTCCGAAATCACAACGCCCAACAATTTTGCTTCAGAAACTACGTCGACATCTTGATCATGGATACGTAGTAATGGGAGCGCAAGAATGGTTTTCTTGAAGCAAATTCGTAAAAGAATTCCATAACATTTCTGAAAATTCGCTATTTTTCCAAGGCAATCCTTTAAATTGAAAGGGCACCCTTGCCCCCCTTGCCCCTCCTGATAAAGAGCAACGGGGGCGGCTGCCCCTCTTGCCCCCCAGTTCCGGCGTCCCTGGTTACCAAACAAAGCATGTCTCCCCATGACATGTTTCTGGATTCAGATGTTCCGATCGACAAAGTGCAGTCACTTGTTGCTTAATTCTATTCAACTTCATTAAATTATTTCAAGAAAATCTATTTATTTTCTCAGAACTATGATTAGTCAGTTTATAACAAGCACCAAGTAGTTTTCCGCGTGATTACTATATTATTGAGACTCAAACTATACTCCAGCAAAATTTTTGCATTTGATCGAAATGTACTTGATGATCAGTGACAGTGGTTTATCGTCTTAAATATTAACTTGCTATCTGATGTTACGATGAGGTACAAGTAAGTCAATTTATATGTAAAACACAAAGGAAATTCAAAGTAGCGTATTATTCTCTTGATTCCAGGAGAACAAACGCCCACAATTATAACCTTACTATGGCTCTGAATTTAAATTAAAAAACACTCTGTTTGAGAAAAAAGCTCGAACGCTGTTTTTATACCTGCGTATAAAATGCCTGAGAGTAGCGCCTCGTTTTTCAACACATGTTTCGGTATTTTATACTCCGGAAAAACACTTTCGCGTTTAAACAAAAGTGAAAATCCGCACTGACTCATTTTTAACTTGCAATTTTGACAGGCCTACGTTTTCCAAAAAGATACTTTTTAGCAAAGTGGCGTGTCTGTTCATCCCTGAAAGAACACCCTTTTCCAGAAATAGAGTAGTACTTTTCATTGGAAGAACGGTAAAGCAGGTAGCAAAAATCCTTGGCAAATACAATCTCGGATTTGCATACATAGCTTTACCAAATTCTTCTTGGTTTTCATAAGCCTGTACAGACATGGAAAATTTTTGTATTTTAGTCTACATGCAACGAGACTATCAACTTCCTGTTAGATTGGTATTTCCGGTTCTTCGCGGAAATACGCAAAAGATTTTCGTATGTACAATAGTACATGTGAACATATGTGAATAGTTGGCCAAGATATTTTATACAAATCTTTCCTTTTAATTATATCGGGTGTCCCCAAAGCAGTTACGCTGTTTATTACACTCAAGAAAAATTCTTTGCATGTATTCAACACAGATTAACTTTATTTAAATTATGTAATATCGAGACGTGTAGCCAGTTCAGTATAAGGTCGTACAATATTTGTGACGAAAATTGTAAACATGATATCTAGTTGCAATATAACACTGCATTCTTTCGCTAATGTATTTGGTTTTCTTGTTTTATTTAACTTCTAAGTTTATGCATGATGTGCCAAAGTGTTTTGATTTGTAGGTTTCTTAATTAACTCGCTTACCTTTCCAATTCCAGTCTTCATTTTTTCTTGATGGAACATAGAATGAGGGAATGTCGTAGGGTTGATCATAAATAGCCCTATCTGCAGAGAGAAATTAAAGATCATTAAATTGTAACTCATTTGGGCAGCATAGTTTATGTTGATGATACCACTTCCTGTTATTGTTAACTATTCATCCAACATCGTATGTTCTGTGCACCCACAAACGAATACATGCGAGATTGCTGAGGCACGTTATATTCTCATTTGCATTCAGAACTCATCAACTGATCACTCAATTGCGTGCGCCAGCAAAAGGTGAAAATCGCAAGCTAAAATTGGCCATATTGCTTACCAGCAAAAACATAGTGTTACCACGATAATAACGACTGCCTTCTTTTAATCTAAGCCTTAAAGCAAAAATTATATGAATATTGCACGCTGCTAATATCAGTGTGTGATGCTGTGGATCGGGCCAAAACACTATTGGAAGGAATACAGGTATTCGTCATTTTTCAATGCTACAAATTACGCGGAACAGAAGAAACGAATTACGAAATATAAACTGTATGTATATATACAGTACAATATGCTTACCAAATACAAAGCCTATCCCAAATGAAACCATTGTCACATAGCAGATCAAGTGAAGTGATCTTGTGTTGTAGAGTACTCTTGAGATAATTGTAAACTCCTTATAACGTTTTGGCTCATGGTTCGACGGGTCAACATCATGATTAATTACACCGACACGTTTGCATAGAAATGCATTGGGAACTTCTCGGAAGTTGGAAACCACTTTGCAGGTCTCGTGGGTTATCTACTGAATTGTGGATCTGATGATGATCAGAATGCGTGGGTATATATATATATATATATATATATATATATATATATATATATATATATATATATATATATATATATATATATATATATATATATACATATACATACGAAATTGGAAAACAGAATTTCATTTTCAATTTTTGTTTTCCACTAAATTGAAAACGGTATTCGGACTTCTTCTTTCGTTTTCCATTTCGTTTCCATTTCCATTTTTGTTTTCCAATTATACTCACGCATTCGAAAAACGGAATTCGATGTTTTTGATTTCGGAATGAAATTTCAAATTCCATTTTTCATTCTTCCGATCAACATGTTATACGCGCATTGTTCAGGCCGCATATTCAATTCATTTCGCACATGAATTATCGTATCAGCTTTCTAATTGGCTAATACGAGTAGCATTTTCGCACTTTTCGCGTTCATATAACTGTTAGCCCGAGAGAAGAGCCTTTCTGTTTGATTTCTGTTGAGCATGCAGTGTGACTCGTGGTCGAGCAAGCAGCAAAAAAAATTACGTTTTTAAAATTTGAAAATGAATCTCGAGCAAACCAATAATGGAAACCTTTCACACGGCATTTCTATAAACGCTAAAGACAAACTGATATGGAGTGGATTTTACGAGGCATAGCAGATATTTGTGGAAGAAGTTGATATGTCAGTATTTGGGACTGCCCAGGAGATGATACAAAGCGATACAAGAGTGGTAATATAGATATAGCATGGTATCAAGGCTCCAAATCTATTACATTAAGTGGCGAACTTATAGATGAAATTAAAGAAAAGTTAATCTCGCTGGCCTCAGTTGCAGAACAAGTCAGACATTCTGAAGTTGTTGACGGTCATTGCTACGAAGTTCATGCAAATCCTAATCAGTTTTATGCTCGTCAACTGTCCCTAGAGATCTTAAAAATCAACTAGAAGCTCTCACTATACAGGGTGTCCCCAAAAAAGAAAACTATTGAAATCACTTATTGTTAAATTTGAATGCCCTACCAAACAGATGAACGTAATGATGCCTATAATTTTGACAAGGTGCTTGTATTAAAATTTAGTTAAGAACAATCTCCTTGTAATTTGCGCGATTTTCTGCTCTTGGGAATTTAGAACAGCTTCTTAATTTAAACAGTTTATTTATGCGTAAAATTTACTTATGTCAATCATTTATGCACTCGTGGGAACCAACAGAGCGCTAAGACATTCAAATTCTAACAATCAAATTGTTATTGGTGACTTCAATAGTTTTCAGGTTTTTTGGGACACCCTGTACAGGGTGTATAAAAAAGCGCAACCACGGATTTTCCCAAGAAATCGACATTGTTTTACTAGCTGTCGTTCCAATTGAAGTGTTCCTCAAATATTGATTCAATACATTACCTAAGGCTGACCAATTCATTTGATAGAAAATTGATCAACTTCCTGTTACTTTTAAATGAGCCAATTAGATTTTGTTTCAGAACCGATTGACCAATAGGAAACGTACAGGAAGTAAAAAGAAATTTGAATTCGTATGAATTGGCCAGCCCGAGGTAATGTATTGAATCAATATTTGAGGAACTCTTCAATTGGAACGACAGTAAGGACAAAAGATTTTAGGTGCCGAGGAATTTAAAATGGCACAACTGTCAAAATTACTGCACACGCGAGTGCATAAGGAAAAATTTATGCATTTATTTAATGAACTTAATGAGTTTTTATTTTACAAGTACAGTACAACAACAATAATATGATCATTAGCAATTCGATTTCAATTCCCAGGGGCCTAAAATCTTTTATGCTTAAGAATTGCAAAGTCGGGATTTCTTAGGAAATTCCGAGGTTGCGTTTTTTTTTGTTTTTTTTTTATTCACCCTGTACAGGGTGTCCCAAAAAACCCGGCAAAACCATTGAAATAACGTGTTGTTTAAATTTGAATGCCCTAGCATGCCCGGGGTGGAGGGTTGGGCAAATACAAAAAATCGCACACAGAAAAAATCCAGAGAAAATATCGTGCACAACAAACCTACTGAAAAAAAAAATCGAGCAAGAACTAGGGGTGATTTTTAAAATCGTAGTGCAATTATTATTAATCATTAAAATGGGGTTTTACGACAATCGGAAAAGTTTATGTCTTCTTCTCCCCGTCGACGAACTTTCCTGTAAAAATTTTTTAGGTTATTTTAAGAAAAATATCGTGCAAAGGAATGTTGCAGAAAAAGTTCTTGCAAGCAATTGGGGGATGAAAAAAAATTCGTGCACAGAGAAATTGCCCAACCCCCCCCCCAAATATCTGATGGTCCGTCCCTGAGCTGAAAGCAAAGATGCGTAAAATGTTGGCAAGGGTAAATATATTAAATATTGACTTATTAAGAAATTAAAATTTCTTTGTAAAGCGCACGACTTTCTAGATCTGCTCTTGGGAATTTAAAACAGTTTCTTAACGGTTCTTTATGCATAAAATTTACTTACGTCAAGCAAATTACGTGCGTTGATGCACGTGTGGGTTCAGCAGAGTGCTGAGGCATTCAAATTCTAACAATACATTTATTTCAATAGTATTCGTTTTGTTTGGGACACCCTGTAAACGTTAATGGAAATAATAATGCTATTAATTTAAAAGTATTTCAATTGAAAGCACAAAGGAGCCTGACCAGACTAAAATATGGGAATTGGAAAAACAGCTTGATTTCCTAAAAGAGGACAGCGAGAATATTTGCCTTAAAACTGAAAACAAAGATCTAACTGAGAGGACTAATAATCTATCTTATATTTTAGCAGACCTACAATAAAGATAGCTTAATTACTGCCATGCGCCTGTTAGTACTAGGGTCGAGTGCGAAAAAGAAAAACAACGTCTCGATAAACATGCAAAATTGTGATAATCAAAGAAAGTTCAATGAAGCGGATGATTGCACAATACAATAAAGAGACGATGTATTGAATTCAAGTATTCAATTAAAAAATAAATTTTTCGCGCTTCAAGACCAACTAAAAGAAGCCTGTCAATCCAACAACAGCTAAGGCAATTCCTCAAGATCAAGCACGAAACAAGAAGAAAAAAAAGAAAATCTAAATCAAATAATAAGCAATCTACAAACGAATCCAATAAGAATCTATCAGACGACCAGATACGGTTACAGCAAGAAGAACAACAACAACCAAAGACAAAGATATCGGTCGTTGTAGCAGGTGACTCCATGATAAGATACGTTAAAGGCTGGGAACTATCAACTGGTCAGCAAAATATATCAGTCAAGTCGTTTTCTGGCGGAAATACTGACGATATGAGTGATTTCTTGAAACCAACCATACGCAAGCATCCAGACAAGCTGATTATACACGCTGGAACCAATGACATATGTACTGTAGTTACCGACCTAGCAAAGCAGTTCGAAAAAGATTCCGGTAATACAGAAATAGTTATCTGGTCCTTGGTCGTGGGAAACAATGGTCCGGAACTTGCGAAGAAGGTAAAACAAACAAACATTGTATTGAAATCAAATTGTATATATTTCAAACAATCTAACATTTTTAGATAACAACAATATTAATTGCAATTAAATCGAGAAGGCAGTGTTCTACTGCAAAATAATATAGCAAACATTTTAAAATCTAAGGATTGAATCGAGAAAAGGCCGGGAAACATTCCAAAAACAAGGGGGGTTAAAATGGCTATGCTTAATACAGTATAGCCAACCTGCCAAAACACCTTGAAGAAATACGTTTGATGTTACTTGATAAAAAATTGATATTTTAGCGCTTAATGAAACCCGCCTTGGCTGTTCCATTTCTGACGAGCTACTTAGTGTCGATGGTTGTGACCCGGGGGCTGTAAAATTATTGTAAAAGGGTGTTTTATAGCTCCCTGGTTATGACCTATTGCGTCCCGATCGAACAAGAAATGGAGGAGGTGTTTGTATATACGTAAGATGTAACATAAATGAGTAAAATTACCAAAAACGTCCTGATCTAGTTCCAAATTACCTTGAAGCTGTCTCTTTAGAAGTTAGACAAGCGAATAGTCAGTCTTTTTTATTTCAAGTGTGTCCTACAAATAGAAAGGCTTTTTCAACTAATCGATATCGAAAACAAAGAGGTCTACATCTTAGGCCAAATTTATCTACTGGTAAAAAGCTTTAAGAAATAATGGAACTATATCAGCTGACACAAATAATCAATGATCCAACTCGAATTACTGAACATACAAAATCACTGATAGATGTATGTATTACGTCTTCACCTGAGAAAACTATTTCTTCGAGAGTAATACATCAAGGTATCAGCCAGCATAGTCTTATTTATGCGAGAAGGAAACTTAATTATGTTCCAAAAATTGCATGGATCACGGAATTCAATCGAGTACAGAAATTTCAGAAAATTTAATGCTGAAAGCTTTCTGAATGACGTATAGGCCTACAAATTGCCTTGGATTGAATTAAATAATAAATAAAATGTCGATGAAATGCGTGAATGCTGGAAATTCTTATTTATCCAAGTGCTGGATAAACATGCCCCACTTAAAAGAAAGAGAGCAAGAAAAAAGGGTAGTGTACCTTGGATAAATAAAGATATCAAAGCTAAGTTATTTGAAAGGGATTTTCTAAAACGTAAAGCGATAAAAACAAATGAAGCAAGTGATTGGAACAGGTAAAAGTCTTCTAGAAATGCAGAATTAGGTACAAGTCTTCTAGAATTGCCTTGCGTCATGCCAAAAGGGAATACTATGCAACGAATACTTTCCAGCATGGTGGAAAAAGGTTAAAAAGCTTAGTGGAATGAATGTAATCGGGGGAACCTCAAATGAAATTGTAAAAACTTGAGACCAGGAGATGACACTTCTAGCTCAGATAAAAGAGATTTAGCCAACGAGATTAATAATGCCTATTTGGCCCCCATGACTAGATATGCGCCGTTATCTTCAGTACCTCGTCAACATTTCATTCAACCTACACAAAGTGTTATAGTAATTACTGTAACATCGATTGCTGTTTTTCAAAACCTTCTCAAACTTAATCCCCAAAAAGCTCATGGTCCGGATGGCATACCGTCGTGGCTCCTAAAAGAAAACACAGATCTATTAGCTGGCCCGATAGCGGCCATTTTGAACTGTTCATATCGGGAATGTACCCTACCGCCAGTTTGGAAGAAGGCGGACATAGTTCCAAAAGAAAAGCCCATTCAGGATATCAATCATCAGTTACGCCCTATTTTACTTACACCTATTCTACCGAAACTTGCTGAATAATTTGTTGTAATGATTTATGTGAAGCCAGCAGTGATGGAATTGATCGATAGTAAACAATTTGAGACGGTGCCGGATAGTTGGACGACATATGCTCTTATAAGCATGCTACACACTTGGAATCTTGGAATAAGGATACGGATGGTAACGGTTCAACGACTCGAGTTATGACGTTTGACTTCCGTAAAGCGTTTGACTTAATAGACCATAATATTTAATCGGAGAAGTTAGCAAAGTATAACATACCGAGGTCTGTCATGATTTGGATCTTAGCTAGACTTTCTGACTGACCGAGAACAGAGGGTAAAACTCAGCCAAGATTGCCATTCCGAATGGGGCAAGTTCCCAGCCGGCGTCCCTCAAGGCACAAAGCTCGCCCCGTGGTTATTTTGTATTATGATTAATGATCTAAGTGTTAAGGACGTTAATGTTTTATGGAAATATGTTGACGACTCATCCTTGTCGGAATCAGTTTGTAGCGATGGCTCAAGTAACTTACAAAAGTACGTAGATGAATTGCTTTTCTGAAACTTTCACCTCTGTTCATATTAAATAATTTTGTGTTTTTAATTTAAATCAAGGATCACACAAGAGGTTTTTAACAATATTTTTATTTTAGCTACGTTTCGGATAGTTTACTATCCGTCCTCAGGCTAACAAATTGTTTTTAAATCTGGCGTGTACAACTTTGAAACGTTCATTTCACCACAGAGTAGAGACATACATACATACATACATACATACTTTATTGTGTTCCCTAAATAGGGATTTTCAACACTGATTTACAAAAAATAAATGTTCTATTTACAAGTTTTAGAATCTAGAATTTAAATTAAGGTAAAAAGGTAAGACATTTGTATAAAGTTTAACAAGGTAAAATTATCTACTTATATATTTGTTCTAGCATGCTTCGCTTCAATTCGTTTTTGAAAGTTTTTAGGGAGTCTAACTTTTTGTATTTAATGTCCAAATCATTCCAGAGTGTAACGCCTCTATAATGGAAAGACCTCTGACCTGCAGAAGTTTTGTACAATGGTATTTGCAGTGAGTCATGGTTACGTGTATCTCGTTGATGAATGTCAGAACGTTTTGTGAATAAATCACTCAAATAATGTGGAGCAAGTTCATTGACACATTTGTACATCATAATAGCCTCTCTTAGTAGTAATTGTTCCTTTACTGGGAGCCAGTTGAGTTCGCGTAAGCCCGGCGAAATATGGTCGAACTTTCCAATATTTGTTATTATCCTGCATGCAAAATTTTGTACCAACTGTAGTTTCTTAATGTTGGTAGACGAAGTGTTTGACCAAACCGTTGAACAATAGAACATTTTGTTCATTACAAGTGCCGAGACGATGAGAGTTAAAGCTTCTTTATCGAAACATTTTTTGACTCGGTTTATTTGGCACAGGGAATTCATACATGAGGAAACCAGGTTGGTGATGTGCTGGTCATATGTCAAATAAGAGTCGATTGTCATTCCTAGATCTTTGGCAAAGGAGACGGGGGTAATAGTCTCGTTGAGGAAGTTTATGGTCATATCTTCGGGAAGTTGTTGTAGGTTTTGCCGTGTGCCAATCAGCATGTATTTGGTCTTTCCCGGGTTAATAAGCAATTCATTTTCGGAACAACTGTTTGCAATCAAATACAAATCTTCCTCTAGTTGTTGCTTTAAACAGTCCACGTTAGCCACAGTGAAAGATAGTAATATCTCGGAGTCGTCCACGTACGATTCAAGTTTACTATGGTGGACTGATGAGGGCAAATCGTTAGTATAAATACTAAAAAGTAAAGGTGATAAAATTGCACCCTGTGGTACACCATAAAAAACAGGGAGAGGAGTAGACACAGTAGATCCAATTCTGACTGATTGAGTTCTTCCGGTCAAGTAACTCTCAAACCATTTTACAACGCTTGGAGAAGCCCCGACGTTGCTAAGTTTTGTAAGGAGAAAAGTATGATTTACACTGTCGAAAGCTTTAGATAGATCTATTAGAATCAGTGCAGTAACCAATTTCCCATCCATGGCCTTTAGGATAGTATCTCCGGTCAAAAGATTCAATGTTTCGCATGAGTGATGTTTCTTGTTCCCGCTCTGGTGGGTTGACAATTTTTTGTTCTTCATTAGATACGAACCAAATTGATTCAAGGCGACTTTTTCCACAAATTTTCGAAAGAAAGGTAAGCAGAGAAAGTGGGCGGTTATTTGATGCTTCCTCGTGGTTTACATACAGAGACGTAACTAGTGTACCCACTTTTTTTGTGCGCATGCTCGGCAAGTTACTAGATGCATGCATCTGATTGGATAACGACCTGATGACGACTCACTTTAAACTTGCTGAGCACGCGCAGTTGATCATTTTTCGTCCGGTCGCCTGAAAAAAAGTGGGTACATGAAAACGCAATCTTCCGCAGTGTTTACAACGGTCAGTTACGTCTCTGTATGTCTTATCTACTCTGTGATTTCACGCAAGCTAATTTAAACTGCGTGCGCGCACGCGCGCGCTCGTTTCCCTTAATAAAGTATTTGTTTAATATTGGTCTCCAAGTCATCAATGATTGTTTTAAATACTTTATTGGATGGTGACCAAACGGTAGGAGTGCGAATGGGACTCGAGGTCCCATGCGAGGTACTCCTCCGATTAAAGATACAACATCAAACAATACTAATAAAATATACCTAACTACAGTCATAAATAAACATATGCCACCAACTCGAAAATCAAAGCTAAGATTTATCATGCTTAAAAATTTAGTGATAGCAATAATACCTTGAAATGTTGTAAGGAACAATTGAAAATAAAATTAGTAATGAATATAAAATAATCAAGCAATAGCATATGTTTATCTCACACGTTAAACTCTATGACATGAGCAAGTTCGATGCAATGACCAATGCCATGTCTACGTCGTAACAAGAGATTAGTAAATGTAAATATGTTCTTGATAAAAACGATCTGAACATAGTTAGGCTACTTAAGTCTGAAGGTTTAGCAGTTCTACACATACGGTTCCAAAGGGGTACGATACGGTTAAAGTACGAAGACTGGAATGTACTTGTTTTGCACAAAGGTACTTTGAGCATTAGGCTAGGATTTACACAATTACGAGTACGGCTGTGGCTTACGAATGACACGTAATCACAAACATTCAAATCATAATATCCGTACACAGCTTTAAAAAAGAATGTTAAGTCCTTTATCTCTCTATCGTAAGATAGCGGCAGAAGGTTAAGGGCCAACAAACGATCTTTGTATGTGACCTCTCCTATCTTTACTTGAAGGATCCATCGTGTGGCACGCCTTTGAATCGTCTCTAGATAGGTTTTGTTGGTGGATTGAGACGGTGACCAGACTTCTGTGGCATAACCCAGTTGGGATTTCACTAAGGTTAAGTATAATGTCCTTCGAGCAACACGATCTGTTAACAAGGGGCACGTTCTCCGTAATAAACCCAGCATTTTATTTGCCTTGGATACAATTTGGGTGATGCGCTGATTCCAAGATAACTTTCTTGTCACAGTAATTCCAAGGTCAACCTCGCTATCCACACGCACCAGTTCAGTTGAACCAAGGTGGTACTTTGTTTCAATTGGGCTTTTTTCGGCGGGATATTGTTAGAACTTTACACTTAGATGCTTTGAAGTCAATATTGGATTGCTTGCTCCAATCGTCAGCGAGCGACAACGATTCCTGTAGAAGGTAACAATCTTGGCGTGATCTTATAGCTTTGTATAGCTTTGTATCGTCAGCATACAGACCGGTTGATGTTGATGGAGGAATGATGTCAGAGAGGTCATTGATAAAAAGAAGGAACAGCATAGGACCTAAGATACTACCCTGAGGGACACCGGAAGTAACTTGAGACCATTCTGAAGTTGTACCATCGACAATGACACGCTGAGTGCGACCACGCAAATAATCAGTAAACCAATTGTGCATGTTTCTTCAATAAAATAGTATGATCAACGGAATCAAAGGCATTAGCAAAGTCAAGAAAAACAACATCTGTCTGAACGTTACGGTCAAGCAATTGTCCAATATGATGTAAGGTGGCTAGAAGTTGTGTGACACATGAGCGACCATGGAGGAATCGGTGTTGCGATTTATTAATCATATCCTGAACATGTTGGAAGAAACGATGACAAATGCATCGCTCCAAGACTTTGCTGATGATGGAAAGCAGGGATATAGGTCGGTAGTTGGTAGCGGGTTCCTTTTTATTTTTCTAATGAACAGGTGTAACATTGGCAAATTTCCATTCAGAAGGTAGAGTTCCAGATTGCAGAGAGTGATTAAACAGTGAACAAAGGCTCGGATCGATGGCAGAACTACATTGCTTTAAGATCTGACCAGGAATCTTGTCGGGACCAGGAGCTTTGGATGGATCCAAGTTCGAGAGATGTTCGGCAACTTCTTCTTCTGAGATGGAGATATCGGACAACAAGGCAGAAGTTGGCAAAGAGAGGGCCGCTTCAGTGATCTCAGGAGATTTTGCAGGCGGAAAGACAGAACAGAAATATATATTAAAAAGTTCTGCTTTTTCTTTGGGAGATGTTGCCGTAACGTTGTTGAAGGTTAATTAACGTTGTTGAAGATTTTAACATTGATCTTTTGAAATTGGATGATTGCGATTATTCCAATAGATTTTGTGAGCAACTTTTTACTTCATCTTTTTATCCGCTGATAAATAGACCAACTAGAATTACGCAGCATACAGCCACGTTAATTGATAATATCTTTACAAACAATCTTGAACAAATAGAATCTGGTGTAAATGGACTAATTTTCTCAGATATTTCAGATCATCTCCCCATATTTCATATAGCTTCTTCATCCACAAATAAAAATAATACAAAAAGAGGAAATGAACATAGAAGAATGGTCGACAAAGATAATCTTGCTTCGTTTTTATTATCTGTGAAAAATATATCGTGGGAAAGTACTTTCGAAACCAATGACCCTTGTGAATCCTATACGAATTTTCACAATAATTTGAAGGTAGCAATTGATAAATGTTTTCTTTTAGAAAAAATAAAAAAGAAAACTGTGGATCACACAAAAAGTCCCTGGATGACAATTGGTATATTTAAATCTATATCCAAGAAAAATAAACTCTATAAAAATTTTCTAAAAAAGTCATCTTATAGAAATGAGACAGCCTATAAAAAATACAAAAACAAACTGAATCACGTAATAAAAACCGCAAAAAAGGCCTATTATGAAACACAATTTCTTAAGTATAAAAATGATATTAAAAAGACATGGCAAACTATTAACGAAGTTCTTAACAGAAATAAAACTAGATCAAAACTACCCGATACTTTTTCACAGAAGAATTCAAATAATAATGTTTCAAATCCTCTGGAAATTGCTAACAAATTTAACGAATATTTTGTGAAAATTGGTCCACAACTAGCCAAAAAAATTCCCAAAAATGATAACATAACGTATGAAAGCTACCTTAATGGTAACTATGTTGAAAGTATGTTTATAGAACCTGTGACTGAATATGAGCTGCAAGTTGAGATTAATAACTTAAGTGAAACTAAAAGTGCAGGACATGATGACATAAGCGCGAAAATGATAAAGATCATCAGTGAAGAAATAATTAAACCTCTAACATATATTTATAATTTATCATTTGAAACTGGAAAAATACCAAATTTTTTGAAAATAGCTTTAGTTACTCCTATTTTCAAAGCTAAGGAAAATAATCTATTTGAAAACTATCGACCTATATCGGTATTAACTTGTTTTTCAAAACTACTTGAAAAACTTATGCACAAGCGATTAATTAACTATGTTGAAAAACATCGTATACTTTCAGAACATCAATTTGGTTTTAGAAAAAATAGATCAACTGAGCATGCCATTCTTGAACTAACCGATAAGATATCCAAAGCAATAGATGAAGGTAAATATACTGTAGGTATTTTCCTTGATCTCTCTAAAGCCTTCGACACTGTCAATCACGAAATTCTCATAAAAAAACTTCAACACTATGGAATTAGAGGTATAGGTCTACAATGGTTTATAAATTATTTACAGGAAAGAACTCAAATGGTCAAATATAAACAACATAGGTCAACTGAAATGAGTGTTAGGACTGGCGTCCCACAGGGTTCAATTCTTGGACCACTACTATTTCTAATATACATTAATGACATTGAAAACTGCAGTAAAATTCTTTCTTTCGTCTTATATGCCGATGATACAAATGCCTTTTATTCAAATTCGTGCCTAAAAACTTTAGCTAGTACTATACAAAATGAAATGAATGAAGTAGTGCAATGGCTTAACGCCAATAAATTATCAATCAATGCATCGAAAACAAAATTTGTCATTTTTAAATCAAAAATAAGTCACAGCATCAAGAAATCATAGTAAAAATAAATAATGATATAGTTGAACAAGTACCTTGGGTAAAATTCCTAGGTGTATTAATTGATCAAGAGTTGACATGGAAGAATCACATCAACTCCGTTCTGAAAAACATAATTAAATCTGAGGGTCTGATTGCTAAACTAAGACATTTTACGAACAAAAACACTTCGAAATTGATTTATTATGCATTGGTCTATCCATACCTCACGTACGGAAATCTAGTTTGGGGAAGTACATACCCAACAAGGTTACAAAAGTTACTAAATGTGCAAAAGAAAATTGTACGACTAATCTGTTTTAAATCTTATATGGATCATTCTGAACCAATATTTTTACAATTGAAAATCTTGGATATCTACAAAATTAATGATTATCTATGCAGCTTATTCATGTATCGCTTCAATTATTGTCAAAATTTGCCGGACTTTTATAATGATTACTTCAAACAAAATAACGAACTATACAACTATACAACTATAATACTCGAAATTCTACCAAGTTACATGTGAGCTATAAGAGAACAAACTATCGCAAATACACTGTATTTAACAAAGGAGTTTCTATATGGAATTGCCTTGATGAAGAAATTAAAAATATTAAATCATATTTTTCTTTTAAGAAAACTGCAAAATCGTATTACTTGATGTCTAGTTGATGTAAATATTTCAGGAATATTAATGACAGTATTCTGTAATGTACTAAATATTCCTTAAACATTTTCCATATTTGTTTGTAAATAGTTTGTGTTTTTCATTGCAAATTGTCCTTATGTACATAATCTATTTTTATATTACTGAACACTAAAACTATAGGGGCCTCGTCTTAAAAGTCCAATAGGATTTCCAGAGGTCTCTAGCCCGTTTATATATTCTTAAATATTCAACTTGTAAATATTATTTGTGGGTAAATAAAACTAATCTAAATCTAATCTAAGGTTATTACAGAGTTTATCGTGGATCGGGGATGAAGTATAGCTTTGTGGTAACTCCAAAACATTTTAGGGTTATCTTTAAACGATGCTTCAATCTTAGTTAGGTACATTTTATGTTTAGTTCTGATTGCGTACTTGATTTGTTTACACGGAGTTCGTAGTTTGATCTTGCGTGTAGATGTCTTGTTTTTCCTATAGTGCCGTAGAGCAGTATATTTTTTACGAATTAGATGGCGATCTTCACCGTCAATCCAAGGAGGAGAGTTGGTAACCTGCACAAGTTTGATTGGAACGAATCTGGTCACAACAGATAGAAATGCGTCCTTCCACTGTTCCCAGCACTTATCGATATTATTCACAAAAGATATGTCCAAGTGTGCTTCTGACAATGCTCTACGTAGTGCGGAAAAGTCCGTTTTGTTGTAGTCAAAGACAGCACGACGCAGGGGTTTTGCTCTTGTGAATTTCGTACGGATACTGAATTCAACAATGTGGTGATCAGTAGGCAAATTGTGTTCTTCAGGCGAAAACGTTAATACATCGGATAACTTCTCAGCATTATTACAGAATAACAAGTCAAGCTTATTACCAGCACGATGGGTTGAGCCTTCTATGAACTGATGAAGAAAATTATCACCTTTAGTGACCTTTGAACGAACTTCTTCCAATTTTTTTGCGATTCAGTATTCTTCTATGATCGCTCATTTCCTTAAAGCGTTCAACACCACTAGGGCCGAATACTCTATCAACAAACTTTACCTCTGCTTCTAAGATTGCCGTGTTGAATTCTTTGTCTTCTTTGTAACTGCCGTACTTGTAGATTCGCTCAGACTCGAACAGAGCAATTAACCATCATTTCACAAAAAGCGTCGTCATCCAGCTGTTGAGAGGCTCGGGTTAAATATATCTCGGCCATGGTATGAAAACATGTCGCTTTCTCTCCATTGAATTTTGAGGAATTTGGCCCACGGATAAAATCTTTAAAGCTTGACTGAGTGGTTGTTCAGCAAGGTTTGGATTATTTTCTTTAACGTCTCTTAAACCTGTATCAAAATGATCTAAAAATACAAAATAATGTAGTTATAAATATGTGGTTATAAGGAATATAGATTTTAGGATTGTCTATTTTTTAGATTGTCTGTTAAATTAATTATTTGAAGTAAAATGCATGGGTTCTTGCGCTACTTTCCCGTTTGGAAACTCATGTGTGTATTGTAAAGTAACCGGTTCCTAAGAAAGCTGTTAATTTAAATAAACAATGGCTTGGTTACATTATTTGTTACAAAGCATTAATTTGACTACTATAATGAAGGCCAGCAAAGCCATTAACGGGTGGGATTGACAGTTTTGCGATTTGCCGCTATTTTAATGTTTTCCATGCACGTGTTTCTTTTTTGACACAAAATTGAAGAAACATTGCATAAGTTAAATCTATTCGGTTATAGTAGCGTGGGTGACGTGTCAACGTATAATGATCCACCCATGCAGGGCCGTAACTACTGGGGAGGGGGAATTTTAACAATTTTAACAACAGGCAATTTCCGATTAACAATTTTAACAACAGGCAAATTTTTGGGCAATATTAACAATTTTAACGACACGTTCGTCGGGCAAAAAATATGTAAATAATACAAGCTCCAGCGAGACTTGTTTGGGAGGGAAGCGGAAGTAGAGAGTCTGGCTTACGAGGTTGACGGTACATTAGTTCGAAAGTTAGTGAAAAATGGTATGCCCGAAAATTTTTTCTCCAATCGGGCAAAACAACCTCCCACCGCCTCCCCCACCCCAAGCCGTAATACCGAAGATACGGTCCTGCTTCCACCCCCAATCAGAGGAGGTACGACAAGCAATTAGCGAGTTGTCACGTGACCAATCGACCAATGAGATCGCTCTATTTTCCATCGTGTTATCAGCAGAATTCGGACAGAAAAATTCGCATTCGACGGAAAATAAATCGAGAAAAAATATTAATATTAAAATTTTCTTGCAAAATTTCAAGTATTGTAGTACTACTGCTAAAGATCTGGCGATATCTGCAAAAATCTCTGAGGTAAACGTTATTTTCAATGTTATTTTGATGTTTGAAGCTAGTCGACTCCCCGCGACGTGTTGACTCAAGTCTAAATATGTTTAGAATGTTTAAATGAAATATCTATATTTTCAATGAATTTTTGTTAAAGTGTTAAAATATTATTTAGAAGACTTAGGAGTTGTTTTAATATTTTTTTAGGATTTATATCTGTGCAATTTTCAAAGTTTTGTTGTCTTTGGCCGACGCGACTGGATTGTGTGCGTATGTCAAGACGAGCTGATCGCCTGATACGAGGCCTGATACTGGAGTTTTTGTGGCAAATTGAGCTGCGGAATCCTCAGCATGGACAAATGGGCTGGTTCAAACCAGCAGAGGAGCTTCACTTGTTTTAAAACAATAAAACAGTTTTTATGTATCATTATAACAAATTAAGTGGCATGTTATTGTGGGATCTTACCCTGCTGGCAGTGGTTTCTGAGCTACGTCAACCCTATACTTGATACACTGAACATAGACATCCACGACATCTCCTGCAGCAAGTAGTGGATGCAAATACTTGCATAGTTCAGAAGCAATATAACCAACATGTGTCCATATAGTTCCATAGTCTAGATCAACAGGCAATTCCAGCTTTTATTTTATGCATGCAGGCGATGACAGGAAGTAAGGTATCATATTGCTGATTATGCTGAAAATTTTAATAAACTGCCTAAACAACCAAAATATTTCAATATTTACAATAACTATCACTCCATGTTTACATGGCCACCATTTCTATTTTTTCAGCATTATCAGCAATATGATACCTTACTTCCCATCACCCCCTTCACACATAATCTAAAAGCTGGAATTGCCTATTGCACTTGGGTCCCTTGGATTCAATGGTGCTGGCCATATGCTTACATTGAATTCACTGTTTTATCTTGTTCATGAAGAGCGAGGTATTATATTGCCTTCATTTTCCAAATGATGTCAGTAGTTTTTCTCATGAGCAGTACCGATGTACTTGAATGGTACAGAGTGGGTGATTTCTTCCTCCTCATCACTTACTCGTCTTCATCACTTAACTCGTCATCACTTTCTGCCCCATCACCTTTACCACCTCTTTCATTATCATATACATCCTGAACAGGCTCAAGACCAGCCAACCACTCAAGTAAATCTCTTTCTACAAAATCATAAGAAAAGAAAATTATTATTTGATACATTGTCATCTCTAAAATTAGCGAACATATACAAACAGCAATATTTAGATGAAAGTTGAAAAAATAGTTAACTACAGTTTGCACGTTTAATTAAATTAACCAATCATTCACAACTAGATACAAACAGGCATCACAATCAGCAAAAATTTATAAAACAATACATACAAATAACTGAATAACAATATACCTTCAGTCTCACCTGAGAAACAATGTTCATCATCAATTCTATTTGCTGTCAATATATGATCCACATCGAAATCCAAAATCAAAAGCATATGCTGGGTGTTTTCGTTAGCAAACTCATCAGGAGTAGGATCAAACTAAAGGGTTAAATTATTAGACATATTACGCCATAAATATTTTGTACAATGTATTTATAAAATTACAGTACAATATTAAAAACAGCAAAGCGGAAATAACAAGTCAACAGTAATGCACTAACCTTAATGTAATATACTAACCTTAAATACTGCGCTTGTTTTCACGTTGATGATACACAGATATTTAACGCCATCCAACTTAGAAAGAAGGGCCTCGCTATTGGGAATATAAACACAATTCCTTCGCTTTGCAGGCAGATTATTTATAAAGCTAAAATGACAGCACTTCCCATGCAATTTAATATAAGGTAAACTTGGTATAGTAAAACACAAGTCATAATGAGGATCGCAACAATACAGCAATAACATGCTATTTTCACGAAGTATTGCAGCCTGACTTTTGAATGCTTCCATACTTGTTTACTCAGAGAGATGTTCACTCCACGACAGTCAAGGAGTCATTGAAGCCACGCCTGGAATTGGGCGCTCAAACCCGTGATGCTTTGCGTCGTGCTTGTCGAACCTCCTCTGACCCCCAATGACGTTAAATATAGGACTTGTTCTAAGCACTCCCGCGCGTTTAATCTTTCTCGCCACAGGCCATACGCGTCGATCCTGAGCGATCGACGGCTATAAAATTTCATACCTTCGGTTCAGTGCATGCTATGAAGACAGAAATACCACCAATCGATTCAGAAATAAAAGATAGACTAGTTCCAAACGATAGTTATAGTCATTATTAACATTGTAACG